ATGTACTTCCTAATTAGCTATAAGAGAACGGTCATAATCAATTATGATGCTCGTTTCCATAGTGTAGTGGTTCGCCTCACAATTATGATGCTCATTCTCATCACATAAAAAAAAATGACACAGGGCCCTAGCTGGTTTGGCTCAGTGGATAGAGCGTAGGCCTGCCCACTGAAAGGTCCTGGCTTTGATTCCAGTCAAGAGCGCATGCCCGGGATGCGGGCTCGATCGCCGGAACGGGGCGTGCAGGAGGCGGCTGATCAATGGTTCTCTATCATCACTGATGTTTCTATCTCTCTCCCTCTCTCTTCCTCTCTGAAATCAATAAAAATGTATTTTTTTTTAAATGACTTTAGGGTACTCTTAGTGACACCATAATAAAATGTTTTAAATTAATAAAAACAAAACTGCATCAATCATCAGAAGTCCGATGAAGAGGAGGTAACACCGACAAATGATGGACAGTGACGCGGTGGGCAGGCAGAAAAAAGATGCAGTAGGTCAGGTTGCCAGGCTTAGCAAATAAGCAGAGGACACGCAGTTCAATGTGAATTTCAGGTAAACAAAATACTTTTACAGTCTCTGTCTGGAGAAAACCTTACCTTCCTCTGGAAGATAAAATTCTCGAGGGGAGGGATTTCTGCCTGCTCATTGTTCATTGTTGTGTCCCCAGGGCACAGGACAGCGCCTGGCACGTGGTAGGTGCTGAGTGATATCACCCATATTTATCGAGCGAGGTGGTATGGGCGTGGGTGCTTGCTACGTAACCGCTCCCCCATTTTGTGTGTCTGAAATGGATCCTAATTCATTTTGCAAATTACAGTATCAACTAACTGCTCTTATTTTCACATAGGCACCTTTTATCCCATCCCACAAAAGGACGCACTGGGGAAGTCAGAGCATAAAAGGACTGGTGACTCGTGCCTCACCCAACGGCAGCTCTGAGCAGGGACCTGAACGTGGGCTGATCAGTCGTCAGGTGGCTCGGCAGCCAAGGGCACGGGGTGGCCAGGTGGTGTTTTTTTCAGCTGCCCTGCTTCTCTGTTTTATTCTGAAAACCATGAACAGTGTTTCCTTTGCCAGCGCCTTGACTCCAGTTTCTCATGGGATTTCTTCTCAAGTTCTATGGAACCCACAGAAGTGATTTTTCAAGGGGATGGGTGGGAGGACGCTTTTTGGGCATAGCACAGCTAGGGGAAGTATAATTTTAAAAGTGCATATTTGATATTATATATCATCTTTGGAAAATAAAAGTAAAAATCAATAACTCCACATTTAAAACTCGTACTAAACTACCCAAATGATTTATCTTTTTCTCAGGGGAAAGATTAGTAACCAGCCTTCATTAAGCTGCCATAAAGCCCTCTTCATCCCATCTTAAGCTGAGGCCTGTAAATTTCATTTCAAAAATTGTTTGAATTTGCCTAGAAAAACACCAACAACAGTGGGTATTTGTTTTATAATACAAAAATGGGAAAAGAAAATGTAAAATTATTTTTATGAGCACCATCTTAGCCATGTCAAATACAGGGTGTTCCTAAAAAATGTATACACAAACAGAATAATTATAAAGGCAGTGTTTATTAAACTATATTTCATTTTCAAAACAGAGCTGTTAAAGTGTATATACATTTTTTGGGGACACCCTGTATATAAAATATAAAGGCTATATGAAAATTGAACAGAACATTCATTTCTGGGAGGTGGTATTACTAGTAATTTCTGCTTTATTTTTTTAGACAATGCTACACATCTATATTTTAAAATATTCTACACTGAGCATCATATATATGCACGTGTGCTGCCATGTACGTGCAGATACAATGTATATATGTTTAGATAGTTGTATGTGGGATTAAAGTAATTGTGTATGACTGAGCCTCTAATCAGATTTGCTTTTCAGGCTTGCTGAGATCATGGTGACGAGGATAAACAAAAACCTTCCCTCGCCTGGTCCGGACACCTGTGTTCATGAACAAGCCATACCCTGAGACTCAGAAGCTGCAGCTAGAGAGCTTTCCTTTGCATTCACACTCAGTGCCCGGGCCCATGAGGCAGGACACAGGGGAAGAGGAAAGGTGATATAGCTGGATCATCAGATTTCGGGAGCAAGAGAAAAGAGAAACTTCAGGACAAGTCAAGTTGGACAAGGAATTGGGAACAAATGGAGTAGATGTCTAAACCCTTGAAGACAGATATTGCCAGAGACTCCACAGGGTGGAGGTTGGAGCCCCTCCCCGCCACCCCAACAGCTCCAATTCCTACCGTCCTCTGGGCGTGGGAATGGAAGGGAGGGCAGGGAAGGAAAGGAAGGAAGATAACAGCATTGCCAGATTGAAACCTGCCCATGACGCTCAAGAAATTTCACAATGCTTCCGTCTCCCTCCTTATCAACTATTTCACTAGAAAAACCAGTAATAATCCTGGCTTTTTTCACTTCACTTAGGTAACTCACTGAGCTTCATTGTGCTACCACGTAGGGATGACAGTGCTGGCGATGAGGAGAACAGCGACCCTGCGAGGATTAAGTATGATGATGACGCAGCAGAGCATCTTGGTCACTGTAGTGTTTATTACAAGTTAGATATTGTCATTCACACTTTATTGTTGACAGCAGTCCTGAGCAAAATTTAGAGAAGTCCCAACACGTTGGGTAGTAGAAAGGACAAGCAAAAGAATGGGCAAAAGAAACAACTGAGTTTTATTTGGGTTTGTTTTTTGGCAAACAACATCATCCTTGCCAGAGCGGATACTTCCTGCTGGGATTGCTGGACTAAAAAGTCATATATGCATACTTCATACAAAAATAAAACTCAAGCTGAAGCTGGTTTGGCTCAGTGATAGAGCGTCGGTCTGCGGACTGAAAGGTCCCAGGTTTGATTCTGGTCAAGGGCATGTACATTGGTTGCGGGCACATCCCCAGTAGGGGGTGTGCAAGAGGCAGCTGGTCGATGTTTCTCTCTCATTGACGTTTCTGGCTCTCTATCTCTCTCCCTTCCTCTCTGTAAGAAATCAATAAAATATATTAAAAAACAAAAACAAAAAAAACCTCAAAATGGACTAAGGACTTAATTGTAAGACCTAAAACCACAAAACTCCCAGAAAAAGACATGGGCGGTAAACTATTTGATATCAGTCTTAGTAACATATTTTTGGGTGTGTCTCCACGAGCAAGGTAAACAAAAGCAAAAGTAAACAAATGGGACTTCACCTAACTGAGAAGCTTCTATACAGCACAGGAAATCAACAAGACAAAAAGGCAACCTACTGATAGGAGGATATATTCGCAGATGAAACACTTGATAAGAGGTGCATATCCAAAACATGCAAGGAACTCACACAACTCAATAATGAAAAAATAAGCAATCCTATATATATATATAAAAAAAAAAATGGGTCGAGAATCTGAAGAGACATTTCTCCAAAGAGGATGTACAGATGGCCAACAGACGCATGAAAGATGCCCAATATCACTCATCGTCAGGGAAATGAAAATGATCATGAGATTCCACCTCATAACAAAAAGTCAATAACAAGTGCTGGCGAGAGGTGCACTGTTGGAGGGACCAGAAACTGGAGCAGCCACTGTGGGAAACATTATGGAGATTCTCAAAAACTAAAATAGAACTAAACATAGGACCCAGCAGTTCCACTTTTGGGTATTTACAAAAAAAAAAAAAAAAAAAAAAAAGGAAAACACTAATTTGAAAAGATATATGTTCCCCTATGTTCACTGTGACATTACTCACAATAACCAAGATATGAAGCAATGGAGGTGTCTGTCAATAGAGAAATGGGTAGTGAAGATATGGTACACATATACAATGAAATGTTATGCATCCATAAAAAGGAATGACACCACCCCCCCTACTTGCAACCACATAGATGAACCTAGAAGGTATTATGCTAAGTGACAGAAGTCAGGCAAAGAAAGAAAAAAGTATAGCATGATTTTAGTTATATGTGGAATTAAAAAATAAATCAAGATAAGAAACAGACTTATACAAACAAGGAACAAACGGATGGCTGTCCGAGGGGTGGGAGCAGTGTGGGGTGGAGAGGTGGGTAAAAAGGGTGAAGGGGAAATAGCCAATAACACGGTGATAAATTTGCACAGTGACAGATGGTTACTACTGGACCATGTGGTGAGCACATCGTAAGATGTATAAATGTTGAATCACTAAGTTGACACCCGAAACTTATATAATATTGTCTGCCAACTGTAATAAAATAATTATTGCTTGATGGGGGGGGGGGAGTCACATACATGGCTGGATGTGCCCACTTCGGGTCTCTCCTTTCTGCTGTTAACCTTTAAAAGGACCCCTCTCTGTTTTACAGTTTACACACTGCATTTGCTCTATAAACTTCTCCCAAATTTTAGATAAGCAATGTTGGAGTCGATGTGCAAACTATATAGGCCTCCACTGTAACCACGGTGAGAAGTAGTCTCGAGTCCTTTATGATTCAGAACGTGGCTGGCTGCACAGTCCCCTGGGAAAATCACGTTAGAGAACATACCCTTCTCTTGCCCCCCACTCTCCCTTTCCCTCTGGGCAGCACCGTCAAACACAACAGCTCGGGAGTAGACACCAGGGATTGGTTTTAAGCATCCAAACTCATTTCCTCTCCCGTCCTTCAGTCCCTCATAAAGAAGCACCAGGGGAGTACACATTACACTGGCATCAGCATTCAGGCTTTTACATTTATCCTTCAACACGTCAATAGAATTGACTGAGGTAATAATTCACCTCACTGATTTCTGTACATAGACTCTAAAGATAAAAAGCAAATTCTCTAAGAGATTAAAAATCAAAACAACCCCCTCCCCCCTTGCAATTTTAATGGATAGAAAATCGCTTTGAAATTCTAGTTATCTGGGCAACTTGCTGTTATCTATCCATTTAGTGAAAGAGAAATTAGGAATGGGTTTGAACATAGACACACACACACACACACACACACACACACACACACTCACACACACACTCCAGAGCAGTTACCTGAGGCACAGCCATTAACTTTTGTGGTGTGAGCCATGCTGGCTTGAATCCAACGACCGATCTAGAAAGGAGTGAGGAGTCATGCAAATTTATGCATCAAGTTCCCAAACGCATTCAACCTGAAACAATAAAGAGAGGCCCGTCAAAATGGATCATTTAAAAGTATGTAAAACTCTAAATCTTAAGACTTCTGTTTACAGGGATGACTGCTAGTGGAGAAAGCAAATCTGAAAGGGGGCAGAGAGCCGGTGGCTCAGGGGGGTGGCCAGCCTGGACCCGCCATTCGATGGTAAGGGGGTAGTAACACGCTGACAGGTGCCCTGGTGGACAGGCTCTGAAAGCAGGTCTCCCGTTAATATTCTGATGGGAAGCAAAGCTGGTTATCCAGGAACGTGGTCTTCAAATACAAATGACCACCTAATGTGTATCCTTCTGTAGCACTTCACAAACTTGGCTTTTAAGCTTATCCTCCTTTCGAAATGTTGGATCCGTAGTTTCATTTACTCAAGTTCAACTTGAAAGCAGTCGTTATATTGCATGGTCACATTTTTTTTTTTTTAAAGATGAACTTCATGGCAATTTTTTGAGATATCTAGATTTAAATTACACAGATGTAATTTAGTTAATCCCGCCCCTGTTAAAAAAAAAATCTTCAATATTTTCTATTGTCCTGTTGGATAAATTTCAAATGGCAGTTTTTTGTTTTGTTTTTTTCCAAATGGCAGTTTTGAAATATTAGGGTTTGTGTTGAGCAACATAGTGGTATTTATTTTACATTGATTTTCTATTAAAAGTTAACTGAGATTATTGTAACATTACTTATGTTACAATCATAGAATTTAGAACAAATGGGGAGGAAGGGGGAGGACTAGAAAAAGAATAGAAGAAAACATTACTCCAACCTTTGCAAAGCAAACCATGATACAGACAGAAGCAGTCCATTGTTCTGATTCTAGGCACATGAAATCAGAAGAAACTGAGCTTAACAAATTCCAAGCTCAGAACTGAAGTGTCAATTTAAAAATCTATCATATGACTCCCAACAATAAAATGTTAAAACAACAACATATCCATATATATACTGGAATCCTAATACAGCCGTTGAAATAATTTACAAATTTTAAAAAAATATATATTTTATTGATTTTTTACAGAGAGGAAGGGAGAGAGATAGAGAGCTAGAAACGTCGATGAGAAAGAAACATCGACCAGCTGCCTCTTGCACACCCCCTACTGGGGATGTGCCCGCAACCCAGGTACATGCCCTTGACTGGAATCGAACCTGGGACCTTTCAGTCCGCAGACCGACGCTCTACCACTGAGCCAAACCGGATTCGGCAATTTACAAGTTTTTAATAATGCCAAAAAACACTCAAAGGACATTGATTTTTAAAACTATCCTATCACAAACATAAGTTAATTAAAAACATGTACCAGTAGAGTATATACACATTTAGACATTTATTTAAAACAATTAGAAGTAAATACACCAAAACGTTCATTGCCCCAGGATGCTGTGCAATGACAATTTTAGCTCCTTTACTACTTTTGTAATAATAATTATTAAAAAGAAGCATTAGATACTTTCTTGTCAATTTTGTTTTTATTTGCTTTAAAAATGCTATCAGACCCCAGTCATGGAGGTTCTAAGAGGTCAGAAATGTAAGTAAGTAAAAAGGAAGGAAGAGGAAATGGCTGGTCACTTAGCTTGTGAATTCCCCTCATTGTTTGATGGATCTGTACAGTTCAGAGCTCACTACTGTGCAAGTGACTCAGTGGAAGTGCTAACAAATGGCTGCTGCTGACAGGAGCGGCCCCTGCACGGCTTTTCCAGCCACAATGACTGCGGCTCAGCTCAGGCAAAGACCCAAAGCTGGGCCTTCCACCGGAGGCCTCCACGTCCCCTCACCCCTCGCCAGCTCTGGCAGCACACTAGGAGGGGAGGAGAGGGGAGCTGCAATCTCTCTGACTGTGTGGCAATCACCCGACATTCTGCTGGAGAGGGGCACTGGGTCAGGTCCCGGGCATTGAATGCGGAGAGCAATAATCTCTGTGCACAAGCAGAGCCAGCTGAACCAAAGAAGGCTTTAGGGGTAGAGTGAGCATCATTTCTTAAAAAAAAAAAAAAAAAAAAAAAAAAAAAAATATATATATATATATATATATATTTTTTTTTTTTTAATTGATTTTCCACAGAGAGGAAGGGAGAGGGAGAGAGAGCTAGAAACGTCGATGAGAGAGAAACATCAACCAGCTGCCTCCTGCACACCCCCTACGGGGATGTGACCGCAGCCAATGTACATGCCCTTGATCAGAATTGAACCTGGGACCTTTCAGTCCGCAGACCGATGCTCTATCCACTGAGCCAAACAGGTTTCGGCAAGCATCATCTTTAAGAACAGGAATAACTGACAAATGTACCTTTGTTAAAAAAATATATCTATAGGAAAGAAAGAACAGACACAAATGGGGACTAGGCGGACTGAAGGAAGGGGACTGGGGACATGAGGGAGCCGAGAAAAGAAACCCAGCTTCTGGAATTATCCAACGAATTATACTTTTAAAAGCCAACAACAAAGACCCAAGTGAGATCCCTCCTTCTGAGCCTGGTGTGCTTGCACTCTTGCTTCATGGTGGCTTGTCAATACCCCCATTTACACTCTCAAGGGCAAGCAGAAGGCAAGAAGGAACAAGCTGCATGGGCTATGGGCGCATGAAGTACGTGTCCAGGTATGTGGATGGAGATGTGCCCAGGATCTTCCTCATCAGCCTTCACACACTGTGGTCCAAGGTTCACTCATGTGGTTGGAAGAAGATCTTTATCTCGGATTCAAATGGGTCCCACCCCTCTCCCACTAACTGAACAATAAAGTCAAAATGAGGGGGAGCTTAGAATTAGGAACTACAAGCCCATCCGTGGTAAAATAACAAGGCATGCCTGTCCCTGGGCGTGGATCCTGGCAGTGTTTGTGCAAAAACAAGTTTTACATTGTGTATCGACTTTCCCCGGGTACTGCTCACGCCTAACATTGCTCATGCCTGACAGGTGGCCTCAAATTAGGAGGACTCCGTCTTCTTAACGACATGCAGATTCGTAGGTCAGGGTATTGGATGAGCCAGACAAGGTTTGGCCAGGATCCATTCTCTGTTACAGATCAATACACTGCTTCTTTTCTCCCTCAGAGAAGCTTCAAACCAGTAAATCTTAAGTGTACAATGGTGGCTTAGTTCTGCTTACTAAGGAAAGAGCACTTCTTTGAAAGGACTTAGGAAAACGCATCAATAGAGAGAGTAAAGCATTTGTCTTCTCTATTTATTTCCAGAGACTGATCTGCACTGAAGAACATGTGAGTAGCTCCCCAAATACAGTGCAGGGAATAATGCAGAGATTATACGAATTAACCTCTACATACTTTCCATTAGCTTAATACAATAAATATAAAAATCAGCTCAAAGAAAAAAAAAATCAGCTCCCTAGGTCTTTTCAAAGAACACATCAATAAAAACAAATAGATGAAACTGAGGCTTGCTATGTACTCTAGGCTAGCACTGCCAACCAACCAAATGGCATGTCTCGGTTAGAACCACGATAATGACAATGATGACACCGAATCCACTGGTGACGACAGCCACTGTATACTGCGCTCTTGCTGCTATTGGTTTTTGGAATCTAAAACATAATCCATGTTAAGGTGCACCATTACGTAAGGCAAAAATAGTTATTGTTGATTAAATGGTGACAAAATGCTTTTTTAAAAATTACATTAATTGTAAGATACATCCTCATTTCAGAAGTGTTACCATGTGAAACTTGTGCATCTGAGAATTGGCGAAATTATATTACACTCAAGGCACTTTTTAAGGCACTGATTTAAACCTCAAAACAACCCCATTAAAGTATTCAAATCCTCTTTTCCCATTTTATAGATAGGAAACTGAGGCACAGGTAAGGTGATCAGACGTCCCGCTTTTGGCGGGACAGTCCTGATTTTTAACAATTTGTTTCCCGTCCCGCAGTGTTTTAAAAAAGTCCCGATTTTTTTTAAAATGCCGCAGGACAAACCGGTTTCGGCAGGAGAAACAATTTTAAAAATATATATATATTTTATTGATTTTGTACAGAGAGGAAGGGAGAGAGATAGAGAGTCAGAAACATCAATGAGAGAGAGTCATCGATCAGCTGCCTCTTACACACCCCCTACTGGGGATATGCCTGCAACCAGGGTACATGCCCTTGACCGGAATCGAACCCGGGACCTTTCAGTCCCCAAACCGATGCTCTATCCATTGAGCCAAACCAGTCCCGGCAAGGAGAAACAATTTTGATATAATAGTTCAAGAATCTCTTTTATAACATATCATAGTATTTTTTCTTCACTTAATGAAATTAAGGAAGCAAGGTACACTGAGTGGCCAGATTATTATGATCTACGAATGCATAATAATCTGGCCACTCAGTGTACTTGTGTCTCAAATGGGTACCAAAAGTATTCTAGACTTTTGCTGGAGATCAACCACCTATTTTCCTTGAGCTTTCTATCAGCCAGCCAGTGCAAAGGGGAAAAGTGATCAAGTGATATCAAATAAATGAGGTACTCAAGAGAAGTACACTGAATGGCTAGATTATTATGCGTTCAGAGATCATAAAAATCTGGCCAGTCAGTGTAGTTTTACCTAAAATCTGGGAGGGATATAACATACAAAAAATAATAATTTATTATCTCACAATCCTAATGTAGCCATTGTTACCACCTGAGGCTATTTCTTTTCTTTTTTCTTTTTTTAAAAAAATATATTTTATTGATTTTTTACAGAGAGGAAGGGAGAGAGATAGAGAGCTAGAAACGTCGATGAGCGAGAAACATCGACCAGCTGCCTCTTGCACACCCCCTACCGGAGATGTGCCCGCAACCAACATACATGCCCCTGACCGGAATCGAACCTGGGACCTTTCAGTCTGCAGACCAACGTTCTATCACTGAGCCAAACCGGTTTCGGCAGGCTATTTCTTTTCGACATATTGTTTAACTAGATGTA